GCAGCACTGACGAACTGCACCATCTCCTCGTCCTCCAGCAGCAGCTCGTGGTCCCTTTCGAAAAGCCCCAAATCCCCCCCAAAACGACCCCCGGAACCGCAGCCGCCACCGAGCACGGGCTATGAACAACTCTGCTGCTGTTTATTGCAGAAAAATGAAACTGTACAAAATGGTCGTCAGCAGCGGCGGGGCTCAATCCTCTTCTTCCTCCTCCTCCTCATCCTGGTTGATCTGGAAGTAGCGCAGCTCGTAGCTCTCCTTGCTGTTGGCCACCACGCGCAGCCAGTCCCGCAGGTTGTTCTTCTTTAGGTACTTCTTGGTCAGGTACTTGAGGTACCTGTGGGAGAGGCATGGCTGACAGCAGTGCCCCTCTGTCCCCTGCCAGACCCCCAGGTGCCATTTTGGCTAATAAACCTTGATTCCCACCTCCAGCAGGACCAACACATCCCACTGGCCACCTCCTAGCAAAGCCCCTTCCAGGAAACACCAGGAACACCCCTTCCAGGAACACTGCAACCAGGGAATTGCACCACAATGCCATAACATAGGTCCTGGGAGATCATTCTTGCCCCAACAAAGCTGTGACCCCAGTGCCTTGCACCCATCCCAGAGGGAATGTCCTCTGGGATGGTGGGTACCTGCTGCTGGGATGTGCCAGGTGTGGCAGCAACCTGGCAGCAGTTGGGAGAAGGGCAGGCGCTCACGGGGCAGGGCACGCCCACCACCCACACAGATCTGCTTTTCCCAGCCAGCTCCTGAGCCACCTCTGCCGTGGCACAACCCCGGGTGCCAGTGCCAGCCCAAGGACAGGCAGCCAGGAGAGGCAGGCAGAGGGCCAGAGCACCACGGGACGAGGGGAACAATGTGCGACACCTTGGCACAACCGAGGAGGACCAAAACCCCACAAGATGAGGAGAACAACCTGAGAGACCTTGTCTACAGATACCCCTAAACTGTCCCCTCATCACTTTCTGGCTGCAGGCCCCTCACTGTCCAGCCCAGCAACCTACCCAGCTGGAATATTGAACACATTCCTCTCTCATAGATCTGGGAAGAGCAGCCACTCAGTGAGTGCCAGGTAGCACAAATTCCAGCACAGCTCCAGCACTGGGACATCTCCTCCCTGCAGCCCCTCCTGCCACAGGCTCTCAGTGCACACTGAGCACCCCCTGTGGCTGCAATGCCCAAGGGCCCAGCAGGACTGGCCTGCCCCAGCTCACCTCTTGGAGAAGGGCACCTCTGATGTGACCGTGATCTTGCTCTTGCTCCTCTCGATGGTCACCACGCCCCCGCCCAGGTTTCCCGCTTTGCCGTTCACCTTGATTCGTTCCTGCAGGAACTGCTCCTGCAGGAGAACACAGCTGTGAGCTGGGGCCACAACTCCCAGGGTTGACACAGCCCCCAGGGCTGGCTATGCCTGCTGCTCTGGAGCTGGGGAATGGACACCAGTGTCCCCAAGACTGGCTGTGCCTGCTGCACTGGAGCTGGGGAATGGACACCAGTGTCCTCAGGGCTGGCTGTGCCTGCTGCTCTGGAGCTGGGGCACAAACACCATTTTCCTCAGGGCTGGCTGTGCCTGCTGCTCTGGAGCTGGGGAACAGCCACCAGTGTCCCCATAGCTCCAGAGAGCTCAGGCCAGGCTAATCCACCCCATCAAAGCCACACCTGGGTGAGGTGCTCAGGCTTGGACATATCGGCCTGGCGTGGTGGGGATGTTCCTGCCCTCCAAGGGGAGGGACAGCCAGGACAGTGGGCTCAGGCTCCTCTGAGCTCCCCTCAGCCTCAGGCTCGCCAAGGCCCCTGCTGGAGTGCAGTGTGGACAGGCATAGGTTCATGACCCCAAACTGCAGCATCCCTGGCCTTGCTACATCCCTGCCATGACACAAACTTACCCAGCACAGATACACAAGAAAACTGCCCAGGGAAGGGGACAATTCCTGTGCTTTTAACTACAAAGTGTCCCAAACCCAGCCTCATCCCCAGCCCCAGCACTCCCCGTTGCTCTGCCCATGGGATGGCCTCAAGGGAGCAGGGCAGAGCCGAGGGATGGCCGGGGATGTTCGAGGCCGGTAGGAGAGGAGCATCACCCTGGAAGGCCCCCGAGAGCAGCGGAGCCATCACGGCTCTAGGGGAGGCCCCGAACTCACAAAGTTGGCGGCGTCCATGATTCCATCCTCGACGGGGTGCGTGCAGTCCAGCGTGAACTTCAGAACCTGCTTCTTTTTCTTACCACCTTTTGCCGCTGGCTTCTTCTGCTGTAGAGGGAGAGAGAGCGACGGTGAGCGAGAGAGAAAGGGAGGGGGAGCGCCTTGAGGGACGGCG